GACTCAACCACTAGATGTCGCAGAAAACAACAAATCCTACACACTGTGCCTTTAAAGTAAAAGACTGATAAACTGCATCTTCTGTAATCTTAGAGGAAATAAAATCAGTCAGTTATTGGTTTTACATTTGCCAGTGCACCAACTCAGCTAAGTTTTTATAAAAGTAGTTTTGTAATTCTTGCATACTTTTGATGACAAACACCACTAAAAATAACCTTGGAAGAGAAACAAACAGCTATAAACTCTTAAAAATAATTTAATTAAAGTAATGCTCTGTAGAACAGCTATGAACAATTAATATCTTACCTGATGTAGACAGATTTTTGAAGCCTTGTTTAAACAGAATATGTGAAAATGTCTCCAAAATGTCGTGTTACTTCTCAATTTCTTTGTGTGAATTGAAAAGTTTAAAACTTGGTTTATACTTCAATACAATGTGAGACAACGAATTGGTGAATATCTTTTTCTGACTGAGTACAAACAAGCTGAAATTGTAGCAGGGAATAATTTATCATAATTCCTCCCTCTGCCCTCCCACAGAGGACTCTCATTGTAGCAAAGCTCATATCTAAGCATATAAACAACAGTGATAGTAGGGTATAGCTTTTTTTCACTCAACAATGTATCAGTGTTGTGGTGGGTGAAGAGTCTGGGAAGGAAAAACTCCTTTGTTTTTCTTGTTACTGGCGCAAATGGAAAGAAGGCCTGAACGTGCATGTTCACATGGACGAGGATCAGACCAGATGCTTGTCAAAGCTGTGCATCTTGCTAATTTAACAAACGGCTTCTGGGAACGGATCATTTTCAGTCTAATAACATGTAGAAGGAAGTACTGCTCAGGGTGCTGTTCCACAGTGCATGAACATACACGGCCACAAAGTTTTGACCAATCATAAGCAGAGGCATGTAAAGTACTTAAAAGAAATGACTAAGTAAAAGTAAAAATACCTTAACAGTAAATGACTTTGGTAATTTATTTATCTAATTAGAAATGTATTTAAGTAAAAGTCTAAAAACTGTTCACAATAATCGAGATAGGAAAAGTAAAGTAAAAATACTTTCATGCACTCCAGACATGAAGTGTTAAATGTACTTAATCACTGTTTCCACTAAACTGAATTGAGTAAATTGTTTTACATTTACTTATGCCGTTTTTTTTTGTCACTCAGTGTGAGTGAAATGTGCGACTTGAAGTAAACATCAGCCTTAGTAATCGTGTCAAAAGCTGTAGCCCCATCGGAGCTTAATTTTTGTTTGAACGACCACAAAAACCCACTTTGGTCTTGGATCTGCTCACTAGCTGTTAGCTCCTCAGTCCAATCAGAACTGGAACACATTTGTTTTTCCAAACGTAGGTCATTCAAAGAGCTATCTACAACAGGTAARAWATTAACTGTCATAAATCTTCCATGTAACCCCACTTCAATAGATGTGCACTATTGCGTTGGGTGTAAATTTAGGATCCAAAATGATTTGACCTTATTTCTTAAATCAAGATCATTGTGGCTCTGCAGGCCTCGAGTTTCACGACAAAAACCAGGCAACCTCTTATTTTTCTTATGTGTTATTTCTTATGTGTTCAGATTTCTCATCATTTTTAATGTTATGGTTTGTTTAGGTTTTAATAAGGACAAAATGTTTTATTGCAATTAGAAGGTGTGCAGATGTGCATGATGAAGTGAATGTCAAGTTTTAAGCTGTTCTTCACAAACTTCAGTGTAGAGACTGACAGCTTGTTTTCTGTTCAGCTGTACCCTCTTTAGGGGTCACCACAGTGTCATTCTCCTCTACTTCACTGTTCTCTGTGACTGTCCACACTTATAGTGACTCTGAACAATCACTTATGATGTTACCYTATCTGATTATATATCAAACTGTAAATAAAGCACATTGTAATAATACYAATATCTGAATTGTACAAATACACGTGGCTTGTTAGCGCAACAACCCTCTGGTGTTCTTTCAGGCTGTAATGTAAAACTCAGAAGCATCTGAACATTTATGGTAAATCCATTGATGCAGCTCATGTGTTCTTTTCTACATCACTGCAATAACTTATTTCCACAGATACTGTTTATACTGGCTGCACACACCCCGCCCTCCCAGCATTCAGATTCCTGATGATTAGTTTTAAGGTTATCATTCTCAGCAGGGGACTGGCTTATTTGGTGCTGGAAGGATACAGGAGCTTTTTTCCCCCTCTAAAATTTATTTTACTGTAAACACAAGCAGTGCTTTAAAATTCTTTAAATGTATAATTTGCTCTTCTTTAATTGACATTTAGTTATCAGTGATTTAGTTGATGCGTATTTAGTCAACATGATAAAAACTGGATAATGAGTCTCATCATTGTCTTACTTTCAGAAGCTTTTAGTGCTTTTTCATTACAAATATGTATTGTTGAAAAAGTTCAGCTTTTCTTAATGTTAAGTCTAGATTCTTTATGCTCTGACCATATCTAAAAAACCCCATTTATTTTCATCTATTTCCAAACTTTTAAAGGTTTGTGTTGCTTTCAAACATAATACACATAGAATATTTAGTGTCATTGCATAAGCCTGTACATTGAAATTTAAAACCAAAACTCTGTTTAATTTAAAAGGCCTAGAATGCCTTCAATGAATACATTATATTGAAAAATTACAAAGTTACAACTGCTTTGATCAAATTAAACCTTAAAATGCTAACCATGTTTAGCTCATTTATCTGTACAACTGCCAGTTATAGATATTGATTGTAGGTTAATTAGTTTGAAGTATATTCAACAGACTTTGATTCAAAATTGTCAAGTGATTCATGAAAGAATTTGCTAACAGTCAACGCCAAAGTTTTAAAGCAAAGAGCTTGCATAATGTGCAGTGCTTGAAGTATGTGTTAGGAATGATTCTCAGCTACCACCACATCAAATTTTAGCTTAATATCCTAAAAAAACTACTGAGACATAACCAGTCAGTTGACTGTGGTGGGCATCTTAAATCACGTTGACTTCAAAACATAATYAGCTGTATTAAATTACATTAAATAATTTGACACAATTTTAATTTCTAAAATTTGATCAATGGCTTGACAAACCTACATCTGCACCTGCAGAAGGAAAAACATCTCCCACTTTTCAGCACCGAATCAAGAAAAAAAAAAACTTGCTCAGGTGGTCACCCGTGGGCAAACCATTACAAATCTGAGGCTGCAGTCACGAGTCAACTATAAAAGCAAATGTTGACCAGATTAAAGTCACATTATTTCTACTTACACATCCTCCACTATTGCTACGAGTTATAAGTTACAAACTCTGTGTTGTTTTGAATTATGGCTGAATTGTTAGAAATGAATTAGAACAACAGCAAAGACGTCATCTGGATACCGACACACTACATGCTTTAAAATTAACCAAAATGTTTAATATGAGGATATTTATATTTGGCGAAATACAAATGACACTTTCAAAAAGTGTTTTATTGCTATTGTGTGGGTTTACTTTTGATTTAACATGTTTTCAGATACAAATACTTCCAACAAAAACAAAACACCAATGGACCAACACAATATGCTTTTAATGTAATGAATTTCCAACTTTTGTAAAACTACAAATAAAGAAAWTTTTTTTTTATTTACACTGAAAATGCAGCTCAAACAAAATACACCCTGTCAACTTGATTTCTGCAGCTTATAATGTTTCACCCAGATACAGATTTTAAGTGTTTGTGTTCCATTAACTGGTTTTTATAATAAAAAAGAAAATCCTTGCTTGACTGACTCTAAAAGATTTGCATCTCTTTAGGCATCAAAATAATTCTCAGGGCACTTTAACGTACAACACAAACCACACATTACAAACTAAGAAGCAGCAATGGGGTTAAACTAAGTAATGTCTAACTTTATATGAAACTAAATGAAGTATCACACAGTAAAACAAACTGTAAACTTGACCAACCTGTAAACATTCTGATTATTTTCCCCAAGTCAATGAAAGCAAACTGTTCTTCAAACTAGTGTGAAGACATCTGGCTTGCAATTGAAAGAGCTCAACTATTTACACTTATTAATTTCTGAAAAAAAAAAAAAAAGATCTTGAGCTGATTAGAACTGCCATAAAAAAAGATGTTGCTGCCAAGACTGAGCTCCTCTACGGGTTTGCAGCTTTCTGCATTCTCTGACGTCTCCTGGCCAAAGCTTCTTGTTTCTTCCTCTCAATCTCAGTGGCAGAACACTTCCTCGTGGCCTGGCTTGTGACAAACACTACACACAAAACAAAACAAAAACAAAAAAAGTGAGACAAACAACTGCAAACATTACGTTTTTGTCCATCATGGAAGTTATGACAAGACTTAAAGAGAGCAGCTGAAACCAGAATTACATCAATATTCTTTACAGCAGGTGGGGGGTCAAACTGTTACCCAATGGGGCCAAAATTATAAAACTTGGTCCAAGCCAAAGGTCACTCTTGGTCAATATTTATTGAATAATAA